CCAGGTAGGAGGTGAGATATGCCAGCACCCAGGTGCTGTGCAGGTACGGACGGTGGCGGGAGAGGCACCACATCCATGCGCTAGCATGTGTACACGTCGGGGTGGTGTGGGGCAGGACTCATGAACTAGAGTCTGGGGCTGTCAGGGAACCCCGCTGCGACAGCACGGGTGACACCGACCGTGTGTGGGTTGGAGGCAGGGCACCTACAGATACCGATTGTTTACTTGCCATGCCCTTGGTGGTGGGGTTGCAGCAGCTGCAGGTGGGTCTCACCAGGGTTAATGAGTGCTCTGTGTCTGCACGGCAGCTGAGACAGCTTGGAGGCCAACAGCTGCTTGTCCTTAATGCTGCTAGTAGAGTGAGTGCTTTTGCTCTATGGGACAAAGGAGTTTCTTCTTCCCACTGAAGGGCCCTTTACTGGGGATGCAAAACAAAAGGAGTCCAGCGTTCTCTCGGGCAGGGTTGGCAAATGGCCCTCACCCCTGCTGGCCGCCCCCCGGCTCCCAGCCCCCTCCAGGGAGGCTGTGGTGGTCTACACTCCTCACCTGCTCTCTCCCAGCCCCCCACCACCCATTACCCCTTCTTTCCAGGGGGACTCCTTCCTGCCGAGAGGTTACCTCTGTTGAGTTCTCAGTCTCGGGCCTTGATTCGTCTGGGTTGCACTCCCCTTACCTGACCCCTGTGCCTTGCATGTCAGTCCTACCTCCTCATCGCCCTACATTTGCCTCCCCTGCACACACACACGATGGCTGCTCCATTTGCCAGCAGACACCTACTGCGTGCTGGATAGATCCTGGGGATGCAGAGGTGACTCTACCTTGCCCTCCGGGAGACCCCACCGAAGGTGAAGACATGTGGAGAGGAGAGGGGATGGAGTCCATCCCATAAGCACACAATGAAGGGAATGCCCTGTGCTCTGGAAACAGAAGCAGGGGAGCCCAGGCCTGGGCAGCTGGTCTGGGAGGGCTCTGCAGAATGCCCCGACAGCAAGTGCTAGGACTTCCAATGCTGGCCGGGGGGGGTGGGTATTGCGGGGGGGATGGGACAGGTGCATTTGAAATAGTGAAAAGAGGAAGCTAGGAGCCAGCAGCCCCTTTGTTCTGTCTCCTGTGAGTGTCAGAGATGGTGGCTGTAGCCACTGTGTGCTCAGCATCTGAAGGCCAAGGGGTGGACTGACTCACTGCGCCACACAGCCCATGAAGCAGCAGCTGAGGGACTGCTGGACTCCGGACCAGCAGCACCAGTGTGGGCTCCCTGTCGGGCAGACAGCATAGGTGTTGAAGGGACAGAGCAGACGGACTCTGCAGTGCCCAGGCTCGCTCCTGCCAGGCTGTGTCCTCTCACTGCACCTGACCTGAGGGCGATGTCCCAGGCTCTCTCCTGCCCGGCTGTGTCCTCTCACTGCACCTGACCTGAGGGCGATGTCCCAGGCTCGCTCCTGCCCGGCTGTGTCCTCTCACTGCACCTGACCTGGGGGCGATGTCCCAGGCTCGTTCCTGCCCGGCTGTGTCCTCTCACTGCATCTGACCTGAGAGCAATGTCCCAGGCTCGCTCCTGGCCGGCTGTGTCCTCTCACTGCACCTGACCTGAGAGCGATGTTTGGTCATGTGATGGGCAGGTGCGGGTCCTTGGCTCCCCCTTGGCCTCCCGGGCCCAGCCGCAGCTATGCCAGGGCTCCCGATGCCTCGCCCACCAGAAAGGAGGACATCCATTCAGCCCAGAGCCCAGGCTGCAGCATCTTTTCACTTGTAGTGACTTGTTTTAGGGTTGCATTTCTGCCTCTTAACCCACAAAAAAAAAAAAAAAAAAAAAAAAAACATGCTTTTTATGAGCTTTTCAAAAGTCATGGCTTCTCATGTGATCCTAAGCTCTTATGTTAAAAATAATCATACAACTTTGATTTTTTTTGAGACTGAGTCTCACTCTGTCACCCAGGCTGGAGTGCAGTAGTGTGATCTCGGCTCACTGCAAGCTCTGCCTCCCAGATTCAAGTGATTCTTCATGCCTCAGCCTCCTGAGTATCTGGGACTACAGGCGCCCGTCACCACACCCGGCTAATTTTTTGTATTTTTAGTAGAGACGAGGTTTCACCGTGTTAGCCAGGATGGTCTCGATCTCCTGACCTCGTGATCCGCCCGTCTCGGCCTCCCAAAGTGCTAGGATTACAGGCTTGAGCCACCGCGCCCGGCCTACTGCCTGAAGTTTTAACCTGGTTTAATTGTTTAAGTCCTTCACATGGCGAAATCTTAGATGTTCAATGGATTGGATCTCAGACCGTTCAAAGTTCATTTTCTTTTTCTTTCTTTTTTTTGAAACAAGGTCTTGCTCTGTCGCCCAGGCTGGAGTGCAGTGGCGTGATCATAGTGAAAGTCCATTTCTTATAAATAGAAATTGCCTTGAGCTATGAAACTATTTCCGAAATGATTATAACCACCACAGAAAAGGAAGGAAACCATGAAACTATTTGTTTTCTTTTTTTGAAAGTTTCTGTAACTTTATTTTGATAAAATTTCAAATTTACTGAAAAATTGCAAAAAACCCCCGGAACTCCAATATATTCTTTAGCAGATTTACCGACTATATTCGGCTCTGTTTGTTCTGCTTCTCTTTATATATGATAGTATATATGCATATTTTTTCCTGCGCCGTTAGAAGAGTAAGTTTGACATACCATGTCTGTTTACCCTTAAATATATCAGCATATTTCCTAAGAACAAGGGCATTTCCTTATGTAACCACAGAACAGTTGTCAAAGTGAGGAAACTTAGCATTAATCCAATGCTGTTGTCAAATCCACAGTCTGTAATCAGACTTCATCAGTTGTCCCAATAATCTTTTTGTTTGTTTTTTGAGATAGAGTCTCACTCTGTCTCCCAGGCTGGAGTGCAGTGGTGCGATCCTGGCTCACTGCAGCCTCTGCCTCCTGGATTCAAGTGATTCTCCTGCCTCAGCCTCCTGAGTAGCTGGGATTACAGCATGAGTCACCATGCATGGCCCTCTTTCGTGTCCTTTTAATCTGAAACAGTTCTTCAGCCTTCCTTTGTTTTCATGATAGTGACATTTTGAGAGCTTACAGGTCCATTATTGTATAGATTGTCTCAGTCTGGGTGTGTCTGCTTCTCTTCATGATTGGATGCAGGTCGTGCATTCTTGGGCATCAACGCCATCGACTTGGTGTGTTGTTCCCCGTGCATCACATCAGGTGTCCTGTGCCATCTGTCCTGGCTTTTTTTGAAATAGAGACAAATGTCTTGCTGTGTCACTCAGATTGGTGGTGTAATCATAGCTCACTGTAACTTTGAACTCCTGGGTTCCAGTGATCTGGCCTTAGCCTCCCCAGTAGCTAGGGCTGCTGATACATGCCACCGTACCCGGCTAATTTAAAAAGATTATTTGTAGAGACAGAGTCTCACTCCGTTGCCCAGGTGGGTCTCAAACTCTTGGCCTCAAGCCGTCCTCCTGCCTTGGCCTCCCAGAGTGCTGAGATTGTAGGTGTGAGCCACCACTCCTGGCTGGTGGTGTTAGCTTTGGTCACTTGGCTGAGGTGGTGTCCCTCAGGTTTCTCCAGCAAAAGGTTATTTTGCTTCATGTAATGAATAAGGAATTTGTAGGAGACACTTTCAAACTGTGTAAAAATCCACTCCTCATGCAGCTTTCCCCACTGGTGTAAGCATCCGTCGATCATTTCCTAGCTCCATCAGTCTTTCTCTCCTTACTAGGTGGCTTCCCAAGAGCTTTCCTCCTCCTCCATTAATTTCTGTGTTTGTTTATTGGTACCTATATGGACTAGTGGATTTCTCTTTTATTCAATGAGTTATGATCCGTTGTTCTCATTATTCGGATGATTAAATTGTTCCAGATTGAGCCCGTGGGAGCCTATTCAGGCTGGCTACTGTTTCTTTTAGACATGTCCCAGTATTTCTTTGAGAACTTTCTTTCTAGTCCAGCAAGATGCTGCAGGCTCACCTTGTACTTTCTGGTAACTCCTGGAAGCCATTTGTTTTCAATGAATGCATTGATACAGTGCATTCCAAACAGTTTATTTTGTATGAATACTACCGGTTGGGATTTATTTGTGTTATTTGGAACTTCTGTTCACATGTTCTTTGGAGAGAAGACCTTGTGACCATCTCATGAGTAATTTTCTTTTTATGGTATGTGAATACTCGTTATAAATAGGTAATACAGATTTACCTTGTACATAATTTAAGCTAGAGGTTACATACTAAAGCAGCTGTTACTCTTAAACACTAATTGTGTACTTGAAATTTTAATTTGTGTAACAACCTTATAGAACATGGGGCAGTGTGCCCTTGTTAAACACAGGAAACAGGCTCAGAGAGGTTAATATACTGGTCCAGTGTCATGTGGCTAATGAATGGTTGAGCCAGGGTTTCAATTCAGTTTAGTCTGACTTCAGAGCTTACTTTTTCTGATACCCTTTGTTATGATATAACACATTTTCTTACTCTAAATTATAGAATTAGTTGAATAACGAAAAGGTTTTTTGTTTGTTTGTTTTTGAGACAGAGTCTTGCTCTGTCACCCAGGCTGGAGTGCAGTGGCGCGATCCCTGCTCACTGCAAGCTCCACCTCCCGGGTTCATGTCATTCTCCTGCCTCAGCCTCCCTAGTAGCTGGGACTACAGGCCCCTGCCACCATGCCCGGCTGATTCTTTGTATTTTTAGTAGAAACAGGTTTTCACCGTGTTAACCGGGATGGTCTCGATCTCCTGACCTCGTGATCCGCCCACCTCGGCCTCCCGAAGTGCTGGGATTACAGGCCTGAGCCACTGCGCCTAGCCAACAAAAAGTTTATTTCTGGCTTAAGGTCTTTCTCTTGCTGCATAATTCAGTGTCTGTATGAAAATAAAGTCTGAAGAATTAAAGTACATGGTTCTCAGAGGAAAGTTGACTTGTTTTTATTGGAGTGGTTCTGCTGTCCTGCTGTTTCTTTAATTACCCAGAAATGCCCTAACCTTGTTATTTTCTTCCTATAGGAATTTGCTTGCTAGAAAACAAAGTGCAAGACTTGACAAACACAGTGACCTGGGATGGAAGTTATTTGGGAAAGCGCCACTCCGAGAGAATGCTCAGAAGGATTCAAAGAGAATACAGAAGGTACACAAGATCTGAAATCACAGAAATAGGCTGTTGGATGTGTTCAGCAGATATTCATGAACCTTGCAAAAATGACCATATTGAGTCCGAAACTGGAAATCGCTTTGTATTATCTGCATGCCACGTTCCTCAAATTTAAGTCTGTATTCAGAATGTGGATGAATTTAACCTTCATTTCTTATAGCTTATAACATGCACATAGGAAAGTCCATGTGACAGAGGTGGGCTCTAGATGTTGATAACAGCATTTAGACAGAGCTGGGTTCTAAATATTTATAACTGTATTTAATCAGTGTTAATAATAGTTGCAAATGTGTTCATCATCAAATTTGTATTGTTTGATATTAAACGTTTCTCCCGTGGGTTCCTTGGAGCTCACATCCTTCCTGTGCTGCTCTGGGACAGGAAGGCAAGGGCCGTCATTCCCCGGCTCTGCTGGGACGCCGCTCCCTTGCTCCCTCTGAGGCTGCCTACTTTTGGGGTGGGGATGGGGTTCACGGTCAGGCCAGGCCTGCATGTCCTCACCACTGGGCTGCTTACGATGGGAGAGATGCCTCTGCTGGATGCTTGCTTGTGCACGGACACAGCAAGTCCACGGCCCAGGCAGCCCTGACTGTTGCCGCCTGCAGCTTCTCCTAGGCCCTGAGTCTCAGCTGGCTCGGCATCCTAAGAGTCTGCTGTCTGTCCCCAGAGCCGTGACATTGCCCCCAGCACCCTCACTCATCCAACCTGAGTTTTATATTCATTGATATTTGCTCAGTAAACACTCCTGAGGCTCCACTAAGCGCCAGGCCTCATGCTTGGCACTGGGGTTGGAAGGGACACAGTACCCATGTCCAACAGCGTCCCTGTGGAAAGATTCCAGGGCAGGTACAGGAGGAGTAGGGTGGCACGGACAATTGAGGTTAAAGGTGTGACAGGAAATTAATTGCTATGGGGATCATGTACTGAGTGATTACTGTGTGCTAGTTCTGATTCAGCACTCGTGTTTCTAGTTCCTTTCAAACTCGCAACAACCTGGTGAAGAAGATAGTATTATTAAACTCAGTTTACCAAAGAAGCGCTGAGACACAGAGGCTGAGTGACTTGACATGCAGGGTCACATCGCTAGTAAGTAGCAGAGCTAGAAACCGGCCCCAGGCAGTGGGGTTCCAGGACCCCTTTTGCAGGCAGGGCCAGGCAGGCAGTGGGGACAGCACAAGATAAGGACAATGTGCAGCTGAGCCCAGGAGACTGCCAGGAGGAGGCTAGCCATGGGGCCCGTGTGGTGTGCCCGGTAGCCTGCCTCCAACCCCAAGACTTTGCAGAGCCTCTGAGTGTTTTACTTAGGTAAGGAGTGATGGCATCACCCTGGGTAAGAATATGGCTCTTGGGCCAGCCCAGGCAAGAGAAAGTGGGGTCTGGCCCAGTGCTGTGTTGTGGGGTTACAGAGGATGCCCCTTTAAGTGCTGAATGGATAGGGAGTGACTTGCTGGTGACCTGTTAGGTGTGGAGAGCGGTTTGTGGGGGGTGAGGCTGGAGCACAGTGTTGAGGCTCCTGGGCAACAAAGTGAGTTTCCACATGCCACATTCTTCATGCGCCGGCAAGTTGAATTTGGTTTGAGTGTCGTCTGCCATTCTCTGCTTGTTGATTATTACATTTTGAATTTGAATCACTTATTGTGTAGGCTTACTAAAATAGCATACAATTAAAGTGTGATGAGTTTGTATGCAAAGCTCAGCTATAAATTTCTTGGGAAATTAAATAGCCAAGCTGTTATAAAGTTTTTTGGTAAATCACTTAAAAAAAGCAACAATTACATTAAAAAGAAATAGATCTTCCCATGGCACTTAATGTCACTTACGTCATGTTTGAACTTGTCTCTTTAAGACCCTGTTTTTGTTTTTGTTTTTTTTTGAGATGGAGTCTTGCTCTGTCGCCCAGGCTGGAGTGCAGTGGTACGATCTTGGCTCACTGCAAGCTCCGCCTCCCGGGTTCACGCCATTCTCCTGCCTCAGCCTCCCGAGCAGCTGGGACTACAGGCGCCCGCCACTGCACCCGGCTAATTTTTTGTATTTTTAGTAGAGACGGGATTTCACCGTGTTACCCAGGATGGTCTCGATCTCCTGACCTTGTGATCCACCTGCCTCGGCCTCCCAAAGTGCTGGGATTACAGGCGTGAGCCACCGTGCCCGGCCTGACCCTGTTGTTTTTTAAGGAGAGCATGGATTATGTTCTTGACCTTAGAGGATTTTTTTTTTTCTGTGAACTGAAATGACTAGGCCAGCTCATTATGTGGTAACACAATACTGCCAAGAGGAGGACCATCTGCTTCCATCATCAATAATGAAGAATGTAACTTACCTGCGCGAGTCATTCAATCCTGCCCGGGACCTGCTTGCTTGTCTCTGGCCCTCTCATCGCTCATCTCGCAACCCAAGGGACTTGGGGAAGCCTGAGAGGGGCTCAGGGTCAGGGACTCAGCACTGTGGGGAGGCCTCTGGGCTGCAGGCTGGGACTGGCTGCTGTCATAGGCGTCGACTCACACAGCCTGCACTGGAGAGAGGCAGGCGCTGGGGCCGTGACAGCCTAGACTTGTGATCCAGGATGGTGACAATAACTCCAGTTAGAGCTGAAGCCTAGAGAAGGTGTTGAGGAAATTCCTTTTCCTTCTCTGGAATTTTTCTTATTACTTGAGAGAGCAGCATCACATGGTGACATAAGAACATGGACTTGGGAGTTAGACTGCCTGGGTGTGTATCCCAGCTCTGCCACAGTTTGGTTGTGTGACTTTGGGCAAGTTATTTAACCTTTCTGAGCCTCATTTTCCTCATCTCTACACTAGGAAGAACAGTAGCACCTGCCTCCCAGGTGGTGAGGATTAAATGGGTGAATACACACATGCACTCAGAATAGTAGTGAATATAGAAAGTGCTGTGAAAGTGTTTGCTGTTACCGTTGTTTCTTTCTTATGACAAGTCAACCTTGAACAACAGGAAATGGAACGACAGAACACAGTGCGAGAGAATGAGCCTGAGCTCTTCAGTGCGTTCTTCATCTGGCCAACAAGTACTGAGCCATGTTGAGGCCAGGTCTTGTGCTGGGCACTGGGCGCCCAAGAGCAGTTGGGTTGACCTGCCTCAAGGAGCCTGTGGCTGAGCTGGGGTCAGGTGT